AACCGCAGCAACGTCGTTGTGCCGACTCAGGTATTCTGTTTGCGCCAAAGCAGAACACCCGCCCATGACGTGTTGGAGCGTTTCGCCGGGTTGATTGCAAAGGCGACAGCGGTCCTCTACACTCGTACCCCCAATTACATACCTATGGTAATTGTGAGTGGAGGTTCGTCCTGAATAGAAATGTCGAAGCCTTCTGTCTCAGCAAAGGCGCCAGATTTTGTTAGCCAGGAGATTGACGATCCAATACTCATAGCACATTCCTTTGAGTTTAGCAGGATACCTGCCGTGCAAATGTTTATGTCCCCTCACTGAAACTATCTTCTTTCGTGATACATGGTCTTTCAGAGTCCGCTTGATTCACGTGCAGTAGAGTAAAATTCTCGTCCGTGGCACAAATTGCTTCATGCATGACCGTCGTTTTCTGAAGGAAGTATATGCGAAGATTGTTGATTTGCTTCGCACACAAGTACTGAAAATCTAGAAGACCCCTACCTCCTTCGTTCCGAGGGAAGTATAGTCTTGCCGTTGAACGGTTGGGATGGTGTATTCGATACTTGGTAAGAGAGGTCCTGACGTTTCGATTAAGCTCCTGCAATGCAGTTGTTGTCCAGTGAAGAACACCAAATAAATAGACAGCGACTGGTACTGCCCAAGTGTTGATAGCTTTCCATTTAAAAGAGTTTTACAGATTTTTGACACTCTTTGAACAACTTTATTTTTAATAACACACCTCTTCAGGGATTCACTTGTGCTCAAAAGTTGGTGCAGGCCTAAATATCTGTAGGTGTCCTCTTGCCCAAGTTCTTGGATATTTTTGCCACATACCAGGATGAGTTTGTCAGGATCAAGGATGTTCCCTCTTTTCACGTGCACTGCAGCGCATTTATCAATGCCAAACTCCATACAAAGAGTCGCTAAGGAACTTAACAAGTTCAAGCAACGAGGAAAGCTGGTTCTTATCTCTGGCGTACAACTTGAAATCGTCCATGTAGAACTGATGATTAATGAGGATATGGGGATTTTTGGTGATTTCATATCCCATCCCTGAATCTCTCAACATTCTGCTGAGAGGGTTTAGAGCTAGCGAGAACCATAAGGGACTAAGACTATCTTCCTGAAAAATCCCTCGTTTGATCCTCACTTCCTTGGTGGTATAGCTGCCTCCAGCGAATGAGACTTTCATCTTTGTACGCCAAGTTGCCATGCTGTGTTGGATAAGTTCACATACTGGTAATTTACTTTGTAGAGGCGAAGGACATATTATTGGTATAATCAATCCATCCTACAGAAATGTTGCGGAATCTCTTTTTAACTTGATTGACTACAACACTGTCTACTATCAATTATCCTTTGCAACTTTGTGCACCCTTTCTGCTGCTCCATTTTGCTCTGGTGCCAGAAGATTATTGGCCTTTAGATGGGTATACAGCATACTGGCTAGCACAGATATAAAAATCTTATATACTGTGGGGAGACATGTGATAGGTCGATAGTTACTCGGAGTCTTAGGATTGCTAGACTTGCTTATCATAAATGTAACTCCTTCAGTAAAAGACGCCGGAATGATAGTTGGATCATTGATTGCAGCTTGAAACAACCTGGTCAGAACCGCATGAGTACTCAGGAAATACTTCCACCAAAAGTTTTGAATCCCATCAGTACTTGGCGCTTTCCAGGATTATTCTTATTCTTATTCTTATTCTTATTATTATTATTATTATTATTATTATTATTATTATTATTATTATTATTATTATTATTATTATTATTAATATTAATTATTTATTATTATTAAATGAGACTGGCGCCTTTTAATTGATAAAAATTACTTTGACATTAAATTGTGTATTGGACAAGTTGAATGATGCATTTATATTAATCACTTGGTCCGAAGGCTGGTCGTGAATATCGGTACATGTCGCGAAGCGTCAACACACCTTAATAGTTTAAGATTATAGATCGCCATTCCGTCCGCTATTTCTTGTTCATCACGGATATTTCGTACACCGTGTAGTTTACCATATTCATAGTGTAAAGAGATAGGTGAGCTATTGCGCATCGCATTTAACGTCAGCCAATGAACTTTAGGTACCAGTTTGCACCACAATATTAGTGGGAATTTTAAATGCAATCAGATACCAAAATTACCTTGTTACAAGTTATAGAAACAAATATAGGAAGCATTTTATTAATACTGCATCTTTTATTTCAACTACACCTTCATCGTGATATTGTTTGTTGGCCATCGTTGAAAATTGTCACTTTATGCCATTTTCAAAATGTTTCTCAACACTTCTCGCTCTCCGTGACACACGGCGGCCGTCTGACTTGGATTTTCAAATGAAGTGCCAGTATTGTGGTCACGTGGTTTGTGACGTAAACTGGTGCTGCGCAGAGCGAACAAAAAATTGGTGCGCCGGTCACCCATTCTCCCATCTCCTTCTCCATTACCACTGTGATCGTGATCCTGTTCTCGCGAAAGTGTTCCGATTCTTTCACGTTCGTTACGATAAGGGAGAAAAGCCCCTAATATTTAAAACAAAAAAAATAACATGTTTAGCATGATTAATATTTCATTGATTAATAAATCCAGGTATAAGCTAAGAATGATTCTATTCTCTACTTGGTTGAATGCTATCAATAATATATATAGCTATATAATGGAAATAACATACTACATTCCCCATGGAGGAAATATCATACTACATTATTTCCACAATGATTGCCTCCAAGGACGTTTCACACATGGTGGAAATGACATAATATTTCCAATATGGTTTCACCATAGACTAACATCTCTTCATCCGTGGTTTCACCTTAGTATCACTACAGAATATAAAATATGGATGAATAGATGTTAACACATGTATGGTATCACCACCTACAAATTTCTTTTGCTCTTTATTGGTCTATACAACCTTGTGTTTGACTGGTCATGGACATTGCAGTGCTCGCTGATAGGCACTCCACTCTCGCTGCTCTGTGGTGTGTTACCGCTGCAATGCTGAGATGTGGAATATACAATGAATAGTATAGATGGCGATCGAGGGACCGATGCGTACAAAAAAGATGATGCCCGAAAAATGGCGTGAAATACAGCGTCTTGTGGAGAGGTTCAAAGAACGGTGGTTGGGGAAGGTACGTAACGTTATTTAGATGGAAAGTCTTGGGAGAAGTTCTTTTTAGAAAATTTGTGTAATGCGAAATGCATGTATAGTTAGTGTTGCTTTCATATTCAGCTTTTGTTTTCGGCTGAAATTTCATAGTAACGGAGCTAATGTATCGTAAACGGGTTTTACAGGCATACGTTTGTTGCCTCTGAAATTATTTTCATTTATTAAGAATGGAAATCTTGCCATCTTATTAAGGTGGCTCTCTGAATGTGGTAGTTATTTTTTATCTCCAAAGTTGTTAGCAGCAATAGTAAAGGTCGAAGCATGGAGGTACATGAAATTGTAATACCCGATAATTGATTTAAAGAACTTGTTTAAATTTGTTTACGAGGAATAAACAAAGCTTTGCGATCTGAGTAAATGTAAGCAAATGCTGTGTTCACGTATAAAGTATAGTGATGGCTTATAATCAGTTTTTGTGCGAAGATTAACCGGAAGATAAATGCTAGCGTTGCACGCCCTGAAAGTTCATCTGATTAAGGGGAGACCGTCATTTCTTTCATAGAACTTGTTTATTATATCTGAAAAGTATTACATTGATTTTTGAGCATGTTAGTGAAATATCTTTGAATATTGTATGCATGAGAACATATCGTTTTTGGTTTGCTTGTCTTCATGCTATTGGCTTGTTGAGAAAGTATTTGTATGTGATCAGATCAAAAATTTCATTTGCCTGGAAAAAAAATATTTTTGTTACTTATTGTATTAATTACATTTACCAAAATATTTTTTTAAATGTGTTTGGTTGTATTTGTAAGATGTGATTAGTTAAAAATTGGTGTATTGACACTTATTGGCAGTTTTTATTATTTTTGTATTCGAATAAAGCTTGAATTATATATTTTCTTTTTTTGCAGGAGGGAGACTGCCGCAGATAAAAATTATGAAGAGTTGCTTTCCTAAGTGAATGTATGGTGATTCTAGGAGTGTATGTAATGGCCCGCAGAAGGAAAGGGGCTGGAGGAAACAAGGCAGCAACTAAGGCAACAGGACGAACTGCCAAGAAAGTTAATGGTGTACCAGAAGAACGACCTAATGGATCTCTAATTACTCCAATGGTGGTAGAGTCTGAGGAGTCGTGTGTTAGTCAAGAAGAAAACCATTTGCCTTTGTCATGTAAGACCCCTGTGGAAATGTGCCCCGGAGACCCAAATTTGGGAGAGCCTCCTCCTATGGCTCCTTTCTCTGTTCACTCAGTACCTCACAAAAAGTTCGGAAAATTTCGTTGCCTTTTGGAAAATGCAGGAACTCTTCAAAGTCAAAATTGTGTGAATTTAGAGAAAGAAGATTTGAGTGTACCTGAGACTCAGATGGAAGAAGTTGTCATTGAACATATGGATGGCGATGTTGGAGAAGTGATTATAGAACATGAACCAGTTGAAATTGGTGAAGCACAAGAAGTTGTGTGGGAAGAGGAGGTGGTGGAGGAAACTGTGGTGTGTGAAGGTATGGAAATAGAACTTGAAGAAAGTAGAAGTCAAGATGGTGCGCAGTTGTTGGAGGAAGCTGATAGTCAAGAAAGTGATTATGATCAGATGATAGAAGTAAAAGAAAATGATTATAGTAACCAAGATGATCAGGTGATGGTTGTGAGAGATGGAGAATTTGATGGCCAAGAAATGGTGGAGGTTTCAAGCATTCCTAATATGCCAGATGGTCATTCGGTTTTAGTCGTCAAAGATGCAAGGTATGAAAATAATTCAAGACACAACACTATCATAGGAATTCACAACGAAGTGGTGACATCTAAAGAAGACCTTGATAGTGAAGATAGTTTAGGAACAGTGAGAGGAATGGAAGAAAGCAGTCAAGAAAGTCACATGTCTGTTCAAGCAGTGAAAGTGGAAATTTCTGATATACCTCGGATCATTCAGGGTAAAGGTTCTGCCTATAATACTGAGCACTTTTCTGTAAATAACGAAATACTAACTCATCCATCAGTAATCATGCAAGCTGCTGGTAAAGATGTATCTAGAGTTCTTTGTAGCCAGGAAAATATAAACTCATTAAGAGAATGTGATGAGAATAGGAGAGAGAGTGATTCTAGGGGCAAAAATCTCTCTCCGAAGCATAAAAAGAATTCAAGGGTGAAAAATTTAGAGTATTACGTTGATAATTTTAATTCAGTTAGAAATATTGAACTGAAACCGTCAAATTGTTCATTTCGTGTAAATAATGAAAATATGAATAAGGTTAAGTTAATGTTCAGTGCAGAGTGTGGACAGTTTCCATCACAAGAAATTAATAAGAAGGAAGATCCATTTTCTTCAGGTGACAGGGAGGATCAGGAGGCAGAAGTGAAGGGTGATTGTGGGGAGGGGCAAGATAGCAACTCTCCTCATCCTCAGTGTTCTCATGATTTTGACGAAGTTGTAAAAAACTCACATGATGATCTTGACAGAAAGCATACTTCGAGTTTTCGGAATCGTAGTGGTAGCACAGATACTACTGGATCAGAAAGTGGTTCCAGCTGCAGTACAGGTGTGAGACGTAGTAGCCGTATTCGATCAATTGGCCTTTTGAAACAGAGGAATCGCAAAAGAAATGAGGTTGAACCTTCGGCAGTTCATGAATCTGAAAGTACAGAAGGTAAAGTTGGTGATTCCAGGGATGTAGTAGATAGTACACAAGAAGAAACTGTTAAGGATGGCTCAAATACAGTCAAAATGCCTGTTCCTGTGAGCTGCCCTGCTACAGTTTCAGCTCCCCCTGTTGTACCCTATGAAGTGGACTCTTCAAAACCTGTGAAAGTGAAATCACGTTGGAGGCGCTCAAGTGAACTTGAAATGGGTGGTAATCGTAGTAGTGATAGTGATATGACAACTCCTCCTACACCAAGTATATCTCCTCGTCCTGTGGCTCCATTGGTGCCAAACCTAAGTCCTCGGCCTGTGGTTTCATCAATGTTGCCACCGGCAAGAGTTTCATTGCTTCCTGTTCCCATAATGCCACTAACAGAGATTCTTGATCCCAATTCATTTACTGATATCAGCAAAGAGGAACAAGAGAAAAAAGATGATGATGAAAAGGAGAAGCAAGAGCGACTGAACAGTTTTATCCCTTTGATGGAGAATGAGTATCTCACTGACAGGTTAGTTGCAGTTTACTGAATGCAATTTTGTGCTTGGTGTTTAAGTGTTAATTTATTTGAAAGTTATAAGAGTTAAAAAACTTGTATCATCTGGAAGGTACTTTAATATTCTTGTGTTCTGTTGTCATTCGATGGGTGACCTGTGACATCATGATCATTGCTCCCTCCTTCCACCCCTGTGAACGAGGGTTGGCCTTAGGAACCACGTGTGGCTTTTTTGGAGTTCTAGTGCATCCTCTGATTCCTTAGATCAAGTCCATTTGTTATCATCCATTCTTTGAAGGGGAAAGGGGATGGGTACTTAAGGGCAGATGGTTACTTTCCAGTTTCCACCTCCAGGGAAGTGATTTGAAATTCTGGAAGTGGAAATTTTCCTTGCCCTCCAATCTTCTCTGTTGGGTCAATAGGAGACCATAAGTGACCACAATGGGGTTGAATATGCTTAGAAACCAACATGCTGCCTCTTGGTAATTCAATTCTGTTGTTCAGTCCTGGCAGTGGTGTCAGTGCACTCATGAATAGCATGAAGGGTTGCTCATAGTTATGCCAAACTGTTTTTTGTTAGGGGATTAAAAATAGTACTAATAATAATGACTTTATTTATGTGGCGAGTCTCTGGTCATCAGGCTCGCTCTTCCACCCAACCACAGGGACTTGTAAAGAACTTTGGTTTAAAAAATGAGACATGTTTAATAGAAAAGTGTGTCTGAATGTAGAAGTCCAGTCCTTTTCTTGTAGGTCTGTAGACGTGGCATGAGAGAAAGAAAATGCCATTTGCTCTTACAAATTGTAATAAGTCAATTGAGATTGCACAAATTGGAAAAGTTAAAACTAAAGCCTTCCTGTGACTTGCCAAATAACCTGGTCACCTTATGGTGACCAAAACAAGACATTACATTAGTGAATTTATATTCCTGGGGTAGAGCTGAGATCAGAACTGAATTCCCATGGGTCCCACAAGTACATGAGACCTTCGCTTTCTTACATTATAACCCATTAGAATTGTTTAGGTGTATTGTGAGAATTGTCACTAAAAACAAAATTTCTATAGTTTTGCATTTAAAAAACCACATTCTGGTTGGAACAGAAAATGAAATTTAATGAAAATATCTCCCAGTTTGCATAATGGCAGCTGCTAATATTGATGAAAGACATAATCTGCCCTCCTTTGATTGGGTGAATGAGTGTGCAAAGCTGTGAAATAAAAGAATTTATTTTACAACTTTGCTTGCATTAAATGAGTAATATACTCATAAGTATTGATTTTCTTTAAATGCACAACATTCTCATGATGAAAATCTTGAGGAATGTTGAAATGTTTTTGTTTGTTTACTTTCTCACTGAGGAAAAGTTGTGTTATAATTTTGAGGCAGCAACTGAAAATTACCAGGGTGAATTTTTGTACTAGGTTAGTTCCTACTATTAAAGGCAATGTTTAATCAGTATTTTGGTGTCATTTGCAGTGGGTTTGATTTAATTAAGTGTGGAAAAAGTGGGTAGAATTAATAATTGGAAAATTACTTTCCTTTTTTCCAATAATTGTCACATGTTGCTCCAATTGTTTGGCAATTTATATAACTGTTAACTAATTAGTGGTTCAGCACTTCACCAATTTATTTATTATTTAAAAGGTTGATGTAGGTTTTCTGAATTTTATATATTTTGTGTATGAAAATTATGCTTGAAGTATTTAATATTACTATCAATAATTTGAATGTTAACATTTTCTCAGGTCAACAAGCAAAGAAGCAAAGCGCATGGTTTGTGATTGTTTCCTATCCAAAGAAGAAATTATGAGAGGTGATAGTGGATGTGGAGAAGATTGTCTGAATCGTCTGCTAATGATTGAATGGTATATTTTTACCTTTTTATCA